ATTTATTTACTTTTTCCACGTTCGTATCCGTCTTGGTTTGCTTTTCACCAATTTCTACCGCATTCCATTTGCTAACATCCCAGACTCAATTTGGCTTATTTGTTTGAGTGTAAATAAAATACCGAATTTAGTTATTTCAATTCATTTTCGGTGGAAAATGTTTTGCTCTCTGTCGCTTTCTGCGTAGATCTCTCCCATGACTCGACCACAAATCCCATTCGACATCTTTGAAGAATCAAAAATAACTAGTGAACGAGAAATTGGAAAACAAACATCGAAACGGAAAGATGAGAATAGCACATTCCAAAGGCGGAAAAATTCACAGAATATTGCAGAAATTCGGATTTTTTTTTCTCGCCTTATTCCTTCCGCTCAAACCTAACGTACAATGTATTCAGGTATATCAAGTGAATTTCCCATGTGAAACACTGCGATAAGATGATAAAAAGTCCCTTTGTATTCGATTTCAAGTAACACCTATCATGTATGTGTGTATGTGTGTACATTGTACAAAGCCAAGGAGATGTCAATAATTGAGGGGAAAAAAAAGATAAAATCAAAGGAAACGAAACTAAATCAAAATGTGCAGGGCACATCAATTTCTATCCGCCTTCAAACCACTTACTTAAGAAGTATCGATATAATCGTCAACAGAATCACAACACATGAACTGAATGAGAGAGGGAAAAAACCAGCAATGAGAAGCGAAAAAAATAAAGCGTTGAAATGAAAGCAAATCGATATCAACTAACAAACAGAGCGGATCGGAGAGAAAGAGAAAACCTTAAAGATGCTTCAAGGGACTTCGATCTATCTCGAGAGCAGGCAAGTGTACGATACTTAGAAACAGTTTTGTGCCGCTCCTTCTTTCTCTCTCTCTCTCTCTCTCTCTCTCTCTCACGCGATTATTTTAGTTACACATAGTAGTAAAAACTGAATTCCCATTCCTCACACTGAGACTCGAGCGCTGCAGCTCGAAATGAATATCGTTCATCGTTTCACTACTTGAGCGATTGAGTGTATGTATTCTTAAGTAGTCGAACTCAACTATTCCATTTTGTGTGCCGTAGTCGTCGTCTTTTGTCTGTATCTATGTAATTCTCGTTTATCGAATACGAGATGATTTCAGTAAAAGTATAATCTCGTGCAAAACCAAGAGGAATAACGACAACGACGACGACGATGACGACAATTACCATGAAACGAGCGAGAGAGAGAGAGAGAGAGAGAGAGAGAGATCCGAATTCTGGAGGAAAAGTAGAGCGCTTGAGAAAATAGGAAACTGATGAAGAGAAAGAGACAGAATGTGAAGAGAAAAAAAGAACTATAATATCAAACAGCATATGTTCTGTGTGCACATTACTTGCAAACTCACTAATAATACCGTGGCCGATGTTTGGAACATTGTGCACAACTCGATTTCGCATGGCCCAAATATCATCGTCTGTTTATTCGGTAAAGTTTCCGACGAAACAAAAAAAAATGTGGATATCACGATCTATCAGCATTAAACGTGGAACATTCAACGACAACGACGCAAAATCTCGTACAGTTGTTGTGGGAATAGGAAGCCAAGTCACATTATCAGACGAGCGACCACACCGACGACAACGTCGAGTTCTCATGAAAACTTATCAGAAAATGTCGATTAAATAAATAAAACGATCAAACTTGCGGTGTTTTCTTCTGTTTTTTTTCTTCGTTTGCTTCATCGGTCGCACAAAATGAAAACCGGAGATCCCAAACGAAACAACAGGATGCAGTTCATTTTATATGTGCATATGGAAATGATCGTTTCCAGTATAGTTTTAATATGACTTTTGTTCGAGATTATTATTTCTGGTTTGGTTATGGTCATGGAAAATGAAAACCTTATCAAATCGTTGTTTCGCTTGCTGTTTGAATATATACACAGTCATTCGGTTGAAATACAGTCACATTTTATCTCATTTACGATGCAATGAGATTAGTTTACGAGTCATTGTAAAAAGCCAAGCCACAAAACGAAATAGAGATGGAGATAGAGTGATGGAAAATGAGAGAGGAAGAGCGACAGAGAGAGGGATAGAGTTGAGCCGTATTATGTGTACCAAGTATTAACCAGAATACCAAATCTGAATAAAGGATTTTCGGAATAAACTCCCAATGTTGATGGGTATTTAAGAAGGCTCCAAAAGCGAATAAAATCGCCATTCGAATTGGTAGCACAAGGAAATATGATTCGGCCGCACTTTGATTCGTGCAACCATGTCATAAATCACAATTCTTATGGGCACATGATTTTCTCCGCTTAGCACATAAAATGCAATTACTGATGTAAATTGTTATAGTTTTGCTCGCGCGTGCCTTTTTTCGTTCTCCCTTTCATCTCGCTCACTTCTATTTAATGCGAATCCAGAGTGGCGCGCACGCGCTCACCACATACATTTTAAAGTAATTCCCGTATCATTTGCTGTTTGCGTCATTTAGTCAGAGTTTTTATTGTTTTCGCTGAGCGAACTTCAATCGCATAACTCAATGCTAAATGAATTTATTGGTTAAGCAGAAAATGGGTTTCATGCGGAAAATGTGTGGTCTCAACACCCGACTCTCTTTTGGCTCGTGCCAAAAGCCTCCAGCCTGTCACAGTGTATACTTCTGGGACGTTTAACTCACAAACTGGTTAAATGCACAACATTCGCAAATTATCGCGCAATAGGAGCCGCAATGTTGATGTCACGCGTCCAAATAAACCGAAATATATACACAGCAGCAGAAGCAGCAGCGGCAGCAGTGATCGCAGTGTTTCACAATAAAGAGAGTTCGGAAAAGCGGAAAAGACATAGACAAAACATAGCAAACATCACACTGGCAAACCAACACCAGAAAAGATAGTAAATAAACGGTTTTGATGCCTTCCAAGAAGACCCGTTATTTCTTTCTTCATAAAACGGAAATTTTATTGCCATTTGCCTAACATGATGAAGAATTCATACATACGAATGAACAAAGAGCGACGCATGTGGAATGTGTGCTTCCTTTTCTTTTCCTTTCTTTTCATTTCATGTCAGTTCAGTTTCATTTGTGAGCATGATGAGGTTTTGACTACACTATACTGTGTTTTCCATGGCATTGCCATTTTTCTCGCATATTTAAACATAACATTTTCGCATCGCACAAACAAACAAGAAAAAAAAAACAAAAGAAGCAGCTGACGAACATTTTTGCGCTTTTGTTCTGTCCACACACAGTATGGTTTCGTAGTAAACCATGGCATTTCATTGTTCTCGCATGCACAATTTAATATAGACATAAAATAAAAGGTCCAATGACCCGAAACACATACTCACATCCACGTTTTTAATTTAAACGTCACAATTTAGCAAATAGCAGACATTTGGGTTAAAGTTGCGCATGCAAAGCACCACACACTAATAAATAATGTGTTTGCAAAATGGATGCATACGTTTTCGAAAGCGAAACCCAATTGGAAACAGTGAAATGGAGAAATGAAGAACGAGGGACTGGGCAAAGCGAGCAAAGTAGATGACGGAAATGAAGTATCTTCACCATAATTCTTATCTCAAGCACTCACTGGTCTGCCTCTGTTGTTGATGCTGCTGTTGCTGCTGCCGCCGCCGTTGCTACTGCTTCTGCTTCTCTGAGTGTGTGTGTGTGTATGTATGTGAGTCTGTGAGTTTGGTTTTCATTGGTTTTTCACTCGGATGCGAAAAATACAGTCCTTAATGCTGCTAATCCGTTCTCCATGAATTTCATTGAGAGACGACACAACGGTCGATTATGTGTTGCACACATTTTCACATGCACTAAACCCACATGCCCAACTACTAATGCGAATTATACCACAACGTTTTATGTGCCAGAACTCTAAAGAACAATTGTGGACAAGATATACGATGATGAAAATTTGTGTGCGCCCGTTCGCACTCTTTCTCCTCTGGCTCACACACCACACACGCTTTCTCTCTCTCCCTCTCTCTCCACCTATCATTTGGCATTGTATTGTCATTGCCAGTAATGTCGATCGAGTATTTAGGTATCAAACTAAGCTTTTTAAGAGGTCACACGGAATACATGTAACCTGCATTGTTATACATTAATGGCCGTATTTATATATATTCGTTTGGCCCAATACTCCTTTGCACACCCGGTTGGAACAGTAGCTGCAACGACGACGACGAAGATGGCGGCAGCGGACAGAGATGGCGATATCGATGGCAAAAGACAACTGAGGTAGCGATGAGAACGATGATAATCGTCACCTGTGGCTGTTACCCTCCCCACGCAGCACATACAAGCTCCATTCTTCGTTTCAATTAAATTTTTCTTTTGGCATCCGAAGATGTGCTTGTGCGTTCCAAAAGCATTACAAAGTTTCCGTATGTATTTAAGTTGATCTAAATATAGAGCACTTAGCCGAGGATTTCGAATCAAATATTAATATTTTATCCGATCGGAAGCCAACGGGATAACTATATAAATAATGAGCGATATAGCAAATCCACATGCACACACACACACACACACACACACGCAACATCTTCATCGAAATTAGTTTCATCAGTTAATTGTTATTTGAAATTGCACATAACTGAAAATCATCACAAGAGATTAAACTACAAACAAGTTACATCGACTTATGACTTAATTGTTTCCCATCGAAAGATACGTTGGAAGAGTTTGCATAGATCACTTTCATTTTCCTTCGGTTGCCGCAGTTGGAGCTGCCGCTGCTGCTGCTCATTTGCCTACCTTTTTGCAAAATTGTGTAATTGAATTTCCGCGGCCCGTGAAAAATGCCTGTGTGTATGTGGGCTGTATGGCTTCAAAGTGAGGATTCGAAATGGCAAAGATAGAGGAGGGAATAATAATAATGTTGGGAATATGAAGGAAATAGGAAAAAAGAATGGATAAACCACATCAACCGACGCCATTCGAATTAATTCCCATCCACCGTGCAATTTTATTGTTATGAATGTTCTCTCCGGCTCAAAACTTACCGACTAAAGCTATTTCATATGACAAATAATAATCTCTTACTCGGTGTCTCTTTCTATCCCACACTCTCTCTCTCTCTCTCTCGCTCACTTGGTGTATGCTGTATGTTTGCACGATGCCAGATCCGTTTATACAGCAGACATTTGCATTTCAAATTTTAAATTGCTGTTCGCATTCGAATTGTATGTGGAGCTATATGAATGTGTGTCGGTCTGTTCTCGTTATGAAAACACAATGTTCAGGGAAATGTCTTTAGCTCGGGCGTCTTTTTCTCTATATTTCACACAAATGTACACAGGCACAGAGACACTGATTCACTGGCATTTGCCAACTCGCAAAATTTATCGTCGTCGAGAACCTCACGCCAGTGATGGTGAAAAGAGAAAAACACACGACTCAACTCGTGTCGTTCACCACGTTTTCTCTTCAACTTTTGCACCGACAGAGAGAACTCAAGCACCGAAATTATTTTAATAACAATACTAATGATAATATTTAAATCCACGACGCTTTTGGTACATTCAATTTCATCAGAGAGCGGTTACTCAAGATCAAATTCTCCACGTTTTTATTTCTGTTTTCTTTACTTTTCAGCACACTTGTATTTTAATTCAAGTTCGGTGAAGCTATGGTTTTCAAGATATACCGGTTTTTTTCTTCTGTTTTTGGTTTTTTTTCCTTTTTTCTCTTTCGTCTCTTGTTCAATTTGAGTGAGTTTGTTTGCACTGTTTTCGATATACCTATTTTATCATGTATATTGCATTAGATTAATATACATGCAACCGTATCGTCATTATTCACACCGAAACGAATGGGATGCATATATCAGTGGAGCAATCCGCAGAGACAAGACTTAATTCAGTTATGCATAATTATTTTTCACTTTGGTTTCAAGAGACACAACCCTTTCTTCGTTTTCCACTCTTACACTTGGCCTCTCACTTGTGGTCCGATGTGCTCTAAGCGCATCAACATTCAGAATTCCATTTGATTCACGCTCTGGATTCGTTTTTTTTATTTTCCTACACGGATTTTCCATATATAAAATTCACTTGGTTGATGCTTAGTACCTCTGATGATGATGCTGCTGCTGTTCCTTCAATTCTCTTTTCCACTGGTTTTTTCTGCTTTTGCTTTAACATGCCAGCATAAAACAAAACTACGGGTAGTTATTCAGTGCGGTGCAGCAATGTGATGATGGAAAGAAATTAGCAAAAAAGAGAAATAAATGGGATTAATATAAATTGTGTGTCAAGATCAGCTTAGGTTTCAAGTGAGGATGAAGTGTGAGAGTGTGTTGGTTACTTAAGTGGATGAAATATGGGCATTTTCACAGTTGCTCCCACTCTATATCTCTCTGCTATATCAATATCACCCATTCCGAATTAAATAATTTAAATTGAAAATTATGATTCGGCTCGTCGAAAAGGGTTTTTCCCATAGTCCCCGCACAAAAAACCAGGAACATTGGGTTGAAATGGTATTTATTCTGCCATTGAATTCGCTGATGTGCATAATATTTTTATTGCCACTTGCTTTCGATTTCATTGAATTAATAATGTCAATGATAAATGCGTGAACAGACACGCACATGCCAGAGCCTTTCAATCCACAACCCGAATTTTATAAGCAAGCATTCCGTTCAATGGGAATATAATTCCGGTGTTTCTGATCCAATCGAAATGTGTGTACATATGAATGGGCAAGCGGAATAATGAAACGTGATTTTTTTTTTTGTAAAATGGAGAGCCCCTGAAAAAATTTTGCAATAAAAGTGCCCTACAAAAATATTGTCTGAATTTGTTTTCATGTACCACTTTTGATGACAAAAATTTTACGAGGCCATTCAAATTGAACATTTTTCGTGAGGCACTCTTTCATACAATATTTTTCGGTTTAATTTGAATCGCCTCGTAAACAATTTTTCTGTAAAAGTGGTACATGAAAACCAATTCAGACAATATTTTTGTGGGGCACTTTTACTGCAAAATTTTTCAGGGGCTCTCCATTTTACAAAAAAAATTACGTTTCATTATTCCGCTTGCCCATTCATATATATTTCATACCGTGTATTGACGTGATTATTGCTCCGGTGTGTTATGAAGTTCGCACCCGCCCCGCAAATCGATTCACCAAAAGATATGAATATAGGATATAGTAGCACGAATTATGGCTACGATATATTCAAATATGTGTACTTCCGTTATTATTACCAAATGGCAGCAAATTTTGTTTTTTTCATCTGATTATTTATATAAATTTTTTTTTGTTTTCATATCGTGCGCCCATAAATAAAATGGAAACCAATTTGGATTTAAATACTGTACTTTTTTTTATTGGGTTCAATAAGTGGTCGCAACATTGATCAAACAGTTCGTTTTTGTGCGTATGTCTCTCTCTCTCTCTCTGTGTGTGTGTGCTGGCATTCGAATTCAGTTTTTGCTGGAATTTTTTTTCTGTTGCTACGTCTGTCGAATGGCACACAGGGACACACGCACCGCAATTTATATCAAGTCGGCTTTATGCATCCATCTCTTTCATTAAATGTGATAAGCTCAGCGATATTCGCATAAATATTCGACAAAATTTTTTGATTCCCATGAATGTTATTTATGATTAATAATAATATAAAGAGTGGCGCATTCGCCTTTTCCTCTTTCTTTCTCTCTCCCGCTCATTCTCCCTCTTATTCTCGTATCCCATGTATTTATTGAATATTTCGATTGATGATATCTCAATCGCCCTAGTTACTATCAACGATATACTCTGAACTTTCATCGATTTAAACAAAAACAAAAAGCAGAGACACACCGAAAAAAATATAATATACAGTGCTTTTCGTGTTGAGCACCAGTTATAATTCCCACAGAAAAATATTTCTTTTTCTCTCTTTCGCCCCGTTATTGTGTTGTATGTTATTGATTAACTTTTTGTAACAGACTTTACCCGCACGAAGTTTTGCTCTTTTTCATCTGAACAACGCGCTCGTTTGCTCGCTGGATCTCTGTATCCTTCCCTATCTCTATCTCTATATGTTCATTTAGTGAATCGTCAAGTGAGATGGATCGAATTGATTTTTTGTTGCTCTCTGTTTTTACATTCAATATTAATTTGCGAGTTAATGAAAACTTTTGGACGAGAGATTTTCGGAATCGGCAATATCGAATGGTATGGACTTTTTTTTAAACATGCAAACAATTTTCGGGTCAAATTTACTTAATTAATTGGTGGTGTTGAGCAAAATTGGTGCTGCAGGTCGTTTTCATTTCGAAATGTTTTCGGTAATATTTGTCGGTAATCCTCGAGGAATATTCATACAAAGAAAATTAATTCCATTGAAACGAGAAAAAATTTGTACAAAAGCATTCTCATGCGAGATGCCAAAGCACATACACGCATATTCTTCGGTCGAAGAAATGATTTATTCTACTCTCTTGAACCAGGAGAAATAAGACACGGTGTTGCGACAACAATTCATCAAACCAAATGGCAAAAGAATAGGTATTTTTGGTTAACTTTACAGACGCACAACGAAACCAAATTCGTACACTCGTAAATAAATAAAATTGCGAATGCGAGCAAACTGATACACACACACGCTGTGGAATTCTTGGAAAAAAATACCATCGAACATCGCAAATACATATCGGCAAAAACTTTTTGACTCGTATACTATTGTTGAGATTTTTTCTTTGGTTCGTTCGCTTGTTCACTCTCCCCGATGTCGACCTATCGTATTGTATATTTATTTGACATGGTGAATGTCTGCAAATACTTGAAGTTTTCTTATAATTTTGCACGTTTTTTTCCATCTTCATCTCTCATTTGGCCAGTTTGTGTTGGCCAGAGTTTGAACATAACAGGCCTATGGGCAATTATTTCAGAATTCGTTCAATTCATTAACACATTGGCATGATTTATTTTTGCAAGTCTATTGCACGCGCCCACAAACACTAATGGTAAATGAACACAAATCATAAATTATAACACACATACACATCCTGATCTTGGAACCAGTGGCTAAAAATATGTGAGAAAGAAGAAAAAAAAACTCACAACAACTAACCGTTAATTAATTCCGAAATCTTTTGCAGCATCAACAATTCACATTAGTGAAATTAGGTCCCACGTAAAAGTGTCGTTATTTTCTTTTCATTATTCGAAACGAAACCACCAAAATAAAGCAGTTCAAGTTCAATTTCATTCGATTTGCACCGACAAATATTTCAATCACTGTAAAAACAATTCGTCGAATTTTTCGTTTTGTCCTTTTTTTTCCTACTTCACTGCAAACACTTTGCTTCGATCGAAACAATTTCGGTTTTTCTCACGAAACAGAAATACGTCCTAATCGTGCGTTCGCCCGTTGCAAACTGATTCGAAATGGTTTTGATCATTCTAATTCTGGTCGAGCCGTGTGCTGACACCCAATGTGTTGTAACGACATACAACAGATTGCGTATGTTGATGCGACTCGCTCTCTCCCTATCTGTGATTCTCTAGTTACTCCATCGATTGGATTCGTACGGCAAGCTATGGAAAATCGGGGCAGCGTACGCTGCTACCGGCACAATTATACACACGTTTTCACTCTCTGTCTATCGTGGAAAACCAAGAGCATAGACAGTGTGCTGTGCCTCCGTTACCGTCGTCGTCCAACGACGCACAATTTCTCCCACAATGCACATCAAATTGTGCAATGCATTTTCGATTTTGTACGCATTCGAAACGATTTTACCCATCAACATTGTTTTTCTGCTGACGTTGCGTTTGTTTACTCTCTGTTCGTGAGTTCGGGTGTTGAAGAGTGTTTGCGTTTACAGCTTGCACAGTAGTTATCGTCGGGTTGGATTCTGTACCACTTGGAATGTTAAGGGGAAGTTTGTTGATACTTTTTTGACGCTGGAAAACCCATGATGTGAACATGCGCACGAAAGTTTCATTCCAGAAAACCATCATCATCATGAGCAAACCAGAGTCATAACGATGCTCGATGATGATTTCTATCACACAGGCTGTGTGCCACTGGAATTTAATGATTCAACTGGAGACAAAACGCATTGGAAACTTTATTTACTAGCCTGCGACAACACAGCTAGAGGAAAAAATAAAAGAAGAAAAATTGCGATAATAATGACGTGTATTAATTTTTGTTTCATTTATTGTTATAAGTTGCGGTCATCAAACTTCCCCACTAACAATGACACTTGAAACCGTCTAGATGATTCACCATTAGTTTTCCAACAACACACACACAATATGAAATGTGATGGGATTTCATTTACTTACGCCAACACTAACAAAAACCCAAGTTGATTTCGTCAATATAATATAATAGTCATAATATTTTTTTTTTCGGTCGTACAGACAATGGGCCATATTATCAGTGTATAACGGTTCCATTTCATGCCATTTGAAAAATACAGTCAAAACAATGGAAAATGATATCAATGCGAATTGAATGGAACTTTTTTATTATTGCTTCATTTTCACAGAAAAAGATAAGCAAAAAAATCGAAGTTGAATGAATTTCAATAACATCTATGATAATATTGAATCAATACTATTCCAGACGATATTCGTCTGAATTTTCCGAAAAATTTACTAATCCTTTAAAACATTATTTCTGTTTCGAAATTCGAATTTCATCAGAAGCGAAGCAAAAAGTTCCACTTTTTTCAATGAAACACTTGAGTCAATGCTACAGAGACGTCTACATGATTATAAATAGACAACAGAAATTACTGATTGGAAAAAAATTCAATCCACGTTTCAAGCTGTTTACTGTCTGTTATACGGAATACGTAAGCGTTATGACCCTTGAAGAGATTTGTTTTTAATTTTGGCTTCAAAATGGTCATGTTGTTATAGCAGCGATTATAATTTCGATTGCATAATTTGCGTCATTGGATTGCAATCGTAGGCTGCGAAATCAATGATAAATTGATACATAATTGGGGTAGGTACTTCAATTGGTATACCCGAAAATAGAATCAAAAAATTCGAGAAAATTTTCCATTGTGCAATCTCGAGAATCCAATCATCGCACAATCGAAAAGAATGAAAACAATGGTGAAGAATGTCAGAAAAAAGGGAAAATTGTCACATTGCAAGTGTCCCGAGAGCGACAGAATGAAACGCACGAAGAAACAAAAACATCGAGTGAAATGAGCTGTCACAATTGAAAGAGAAACTGAAACGCCCCTTTAAATGACACACGAAAAATGAGCGAAAAGTACAAGCGGATGATTCCGATTTATCTTCCTATCTCTCGTGCTCGTGTTTAATGCAGCAATTGAAAGCGATTTGCGAGTCTACAAATTCGCACAAGTGTGTGCGCGCGCGCGTTCACTCACTCACTCACTCACCGAGGATGAGCCGTGTTAGATTGTCTAACACATACACCATAATTTAAAATAATGATAGACAACCTAATCACACACTGTCAACTGTGAATTTTTGTCAAAGCCCGTGAAAACGAGTCCCATACATTTATACTCTACCTCCCTACTTTTTCCCTTGTTCGCTGGCAGCAAGAGCAATGAAATGGCATAGTCACACGAACATTTAGCCACTTTTGCGCGTGATGTTCGTGAACGCGCATACGAATTGAGTTGAATGATATGCAAACTGGTGAACCGGTTTTTTATCGCCTATCATCAACTACAACTTTATCCCATATATAGGACGGTTTCAAATAGAAAAAAAATGACGGAGATAAATGTTGATTCAGTTTTGATAAGCAACGTCACTTGAGATTTTCCATCGAATCCTTCAATGCGACGATGGAGAGAGAGAGAGAGAGGTGGGCAGCACTTCGATGAAAGAGACATCGAACCAGGGGAATGCAAAAAAAACAGAAAACACATGATTTACGCCGAAATAAAGCATTTTGAAATTGAAGCGATGGAAAAGCCCATGAATAAAACATAAACAAAACGAATCGTTTAATTGAATTGAGCTGCGTAAACACGTCTTGGGCGAAAAGAGATGCGTTTGAAGAGGAAACGCTTCATCGGATCGGTTCACATGAAACGGATTGCTGAAAAAGCATTGCAATTTGATGAAGTTGTTGTCAATTTATTTGTATGAAACACTCTTAAGATCAATGATTGTTTGCCATTTTATTTCTCAAACGACACCAAATGAGAACACACATCGTTTCACCACACACACACACAAACACAAACACATATACGTACTCATCGTCAAGCATCACATCTCATTTGATTTGCTTATATATGCGTTCATCATTCGTTGGGTTTCTGTTTTAGGAAAAAACTTCCAAAATGAAACTTTGATAGAACGAGTGGCAACGACGACGAAACCCGTGCTAAATAAATATTGCCTTTCATGATTAAATTAATGAAGAAGACACACTCAATTCCGAAACAGATACATAGTATATACTTGAATATGGTGCAACTTCTTGAACCCGCCCGCTTCACTACTCTATGCTGAATCAATATTATTGATTTCCGATTTAATTTTCTACGTTTTTTCTAGCTTTTACTTGTCTCTCTGTTGATGTTTGTATACATGTGTCTGCGCATTGACAGTTATATCTCGTTTTCTGTGTTCTTTTTGCTTCGTTGACTAAAGAACAGCTCAAATCCATCGCGACTGAAATGTAAACGAAGAACAAACCGACTCAATCAAAGCGCTTTAATTTCGATTGCTTTTCTGTTTCCACTGGACCGAAGAAGCAGTAAGACAGAGAGTAAGAGAGTAAGCAATACAGAGGCAAATCTAATTGGAATGAGTATTTGCGTTTCGATATTCGTCCAAAAAATATTGTTGTTGTTGCTGCTGCGGCTGCTGGTTTCGATATATTCAACCGAAATGTATCATCACATTGTGTTCGATATATTCACATGTATTGAATGTAATCTAGAGCAAAATTAATGTTATAAGCGTTCAGGGAATATCACAAAATCGAATTCATTACTTTTTTCCTCTCTCTGGTTGCTATTCATTGCGAGCAATGGTAATTGTGAGTGTGTGCGCTACACTTTAAGATTTGAAGGCGGGAGAAAATGGAGCATTTGATTATTTTGACATGATTGAAGCTATTCAAAACAGAGAAAACATCTTTTCAATGCAATTCAAATTTATGGCACCGATTAAACTTGTTGAAATCCGAAAATATTTGTTGATCACACTTGTTTCCATACTTTGTGTGTCAATTTTTGTCCCCCTCCCACCCTTTATCACCGATTGCGTTAGTTTGGATGATGAAAATCGATGTACGCATTTACTTCGAAGTGTTTTCATCGGCCGATTTGGTACGACAACCAAATTCCAGTTCATTTGAAGAGAGAAATCCACCCTCTGCACTGAAAATCGAACGGTGAAATGGCATAAATTGCGTTATGTTAAATTCTTTCATTCAACATGCAAATTGTTATCGATGTGCTCATTTTCCGATGTGTACAGCAGCAATAGCAGTACCAGCAATGGCACAAAGTGAAAAGAAGAAAGGACGAGCATTTTATGGTTGATTATATTTATGGGAAAATTTACGATACTTTAAGAACTTTAAAGGTAACTCTCAAGTACTTGAAATTGTCGCTCGGTTTTATCGTGTGATTTCCTCTCACTCTCCGTATCGCTCGTTCTGTGCGAAACCAACGAACTCGATACGAATCATAATAAAAGCGACAACGGTTGTGCGATGTGCGGCTAGATATATTAGCACACACACTGACTGGCTGAGTGAATTGCTTCTACATTCTCGTTGGTTCTTCGTTTCACCCGCTGTCACTGTTCGATCTCGCCACCAATATATTGGTCGATTAGTGTGAAGTGTATAAAATAAGTATGCGTTCAGTTCGATTACATATTTCGCATCGCAGATTAGATAATCGTTTGTAATCAACGGCAAAGCGCATAAATGTGACAGAACACACAACAAGAATGGAAAGCAAAGTGCGAGTGAAGAGCAGTTACCGCGATGACGATCGAAAGGAAGACGAAAAAAAAAACCAAAACCAAGCCCCGAATTTTCCAATTTATAGGACGATATGCGTGCAGCAGCAGCAGTAGCAGCAGCGACAAATGCCATCCAAACACACATCAACTTTATCTATTTCCAAAGTCAATGTGCTCGGCATCATCGAGATGGAATGCGATTTTCACCAGTGAAATCGCATAAATGAAAAGTGCGACGAGAAAAAGCACTCGTTTAGTATGATAAGTGTATAAAATTTACAAAAAAAATATATGTATATATGCTCTTTTATGGCTCAAAAATGTTCGTCGCATTTCGAAGGGAATTTAATATTAAGTCAAGCTTCTTAGCAGCAACAGAAAAGACGAATGAAGGGAAAAAAACACGTAGATAAACTTTTTTTGTGTGTAAGAAAAAGAGTGTGTGTTTGACTAACCGTATTGA